CTTTCTTCTCTCTTCTCTCCTCCTTCTCTCTCTCTCTCTCTCTCTCTCTCTCTCTTTCTTCATTTTTCTTTTCTTTCTTAATTAAATGAAACTTTTCAAATTTTTCTATTACCAAAAAATCATTTTTTTTCGTTGTTCGAGGAATCAAAAGTTGTTTGTATTATTAGAATTATTTTAAAATAATATTTTATAAAAAACGGAATAGAAATTATTTTCAATTGATTTAAATTTTTTTCAAAAATAATAATATGTACAATTGTAGAAGTTATTCTAAGATTTGATCGTATTATATACGTATAAAATATTAAATGTTATTTATGATAATTTGTTTTCTGCATATAAAAAATTTAGATTATTATAATACTTAGCATACGATATGTATACAAATATCTGGCTCAATACACAATTCTTTTTCTTTTTCGTCGTACATTCGAATGCGTAACAAAAACCTATATTTCAATCAATATTATGTCTGCTTCTGAGAACGTTCTAAACCTTGAGAACAACGTATACACAAATCGATGAAAGAGTTTAACTTTCACGCGACACATTACTCTTTAGAAATATTTCAAATTTCTAGATCTATTTTATTAGTTATTTCAGATAAATGTAATTAAATAACAGCATAAGTATTTATCTCTCATAAATCGTTAAGATAAATTATTCTATTTATTTATTTTTAAGCAAGAAGCATCCTCTTTTTTCCAACCTATATCAATTTATTATATTTTTTTCAATTATTTAATCGATCAAATAATTACATTTATTAAATATATAATATATAAAATATTTGTCTTCTTCAATTTAAATAAATTTCTACTTTTTATCAGAGGAGAATTTATTAGTTAAAGTATACTTACCATTGAAATATTATTTTCGAAAAATATTCATTTTATACATTTTTAATTTCGTTTTTAAAATTAATACCGTTAAAAAAATTGCAAAATATAATTTTGTTAAACAAAACTTTAAACAAATCTTTCGAACAAAAATTAAAATAGTTAAAGTATCATTTGTTTTTAGAAAAAAGAAAAAACAAAAAATCAATAATGAGTCATTATTGTTACGAAGCCTTCATTTCATATAATACAACTTGATTTCACTGAAGCTGTCACAGAATCACCGACATTTTCTCCAGCGGAACACTTAATTACACGCATCTTTTCATCGACAATTACATACAACGCGTACAACGTTTAGAGCGAGGCATAAATATCTCCGTCACGGAAACGTCGTGCAGAGTTTCGTTACATAAAAGCGTTAGCCATGCAACATTCGTAACTGCGCTACTTGAACAGCTGAGTTTATTTGCTACAGAAACGGTCCGGTTTATAAATGAACCGCGCGTTTTATTAATAGCCGTTGCTTTCTCTCCACCCACGGAAAATGTTTTCTCCAAGTTTTTGCCCGTTTTATATCGCGTTTCTCGTCGATTTGAATAAAAACTCGAATAAGAAGATCTTTAAATTAAATTCCTATCTCGAATACGATGCGACGTTTCGAGAGGAAATTTATGAAATAATAGAGTATCACCACGAAGTGATTCGACTTTATCAGCGATCCTTCGTCCAGCAATTTCATAACGAATTTATTATTTTTTTCACCTATGGCTCTTTCATAATTTCTTAAAGTGCGAATATATTTGAGAGTAAAACTCTCGAAAATATTTTTCGCAAATGGACACTGCGTTGGAAATCCGATAGTGACTTTCACTCTCAAAATAATTAGTGACAATAAATGTCGAAAGTAATTCTTAAATGAATTTGTACTCTTTTATTCAATTAGCCTTTATTCAATTAGCTTTTATCGGTCGGTGTTTCTTGACGCGACAATGGTGAAAATTTAATAATTATTTTGATTAGAATTTGATCTTACACGATGGAAATTTGATCTTGACGCTTGGTTTGTATCTAATTTTAATATTTAACAATATTTGAAATCTTATGCTTATAAATTTTATTTTTTTTAGAAGCAAATCTAGAATTGAACTAATTGAACTTTGAATAAAATGTTTTCGATTCAAAGTTTCTTTCTTAGAAAGATAGAATAGAGATATTTTCATTAAAAGAAAAATTGTTGAGGAACGTTATAAAATTATAGAAATATCCATTTGTATACAAATTTATAAAAGAAAAATTGAATAGATTAAACTGTTTGTTCACATACAAGAGAATATTAGGATTAATATTAGAATAAAGAGATACATGAATTTTGTTTAATGACAATAGAGAAAATAATCAGAGAAAATCAACTGATTATAATCTTAAAGCAAATTGAATATCTCTTATCTCTGTAGAAGTAATCATCTTTTAATTTTTTTTTTCAAAGAAGTAATATGTGTTAGTAATTAAAATTTAAAAAAAGCAATAATTATGAAAAATATTATTTAACTTTTCAAAAATTCTAAGAAGCAGACTACGGATTTTTTATAAATATTATTAAATAAATAAAATTTAAATAGAAATTCCTTTCATTCATTGAATGATTCTATAATGATTCAAATGCTTTGCATACTAAGAACTTTATACATTTCCAATCAAATGTAAATTTTCATAAATGTACAAGCAATTCTATATTCTATTCACAATATTATTATTCCTCAAACAAAAAGTTAAAAAAGTTAGAATAAAAAAAGTAGACAAAGCAAACCTATCACTCGTTGTTGATTATAAATTAGAAAGAGAGAGAGCGGAAAGAATTCCGATCGAGTGGCCGAGTAGAGGAGGAAGCGCGTTAAAAAAAAAGCGTATAACCATGGCGATCGGAACCCCATCCTCGAGTTCTCAGTTTCACATTGGGAATTCTATTGGCGCGCAGATAGACGCGGCGTCGCATTCCGTAGAGGCATCTCCGTTAATTGACCTAGTATTCTCTTATTATTTCGCGTCCTGTTTTTATCATTTTTCTCTCATACACTTTTTTTTCGATCGATATCCATGTAATCACATTAACGTGATCGCAAGCAAATCGTTCGTCTTCTGATTATATATTTATACGTTATTTTTTTTCTTTTTCTTTTTCTTTTTTTTTTTAATCTCGACTGGCTAAGATACTTGTTTTGAGCTTGATCTTACCACGTAGATACATGTAATGTAGGCAACGATCAGTTTCCGTCGGGAACGCTCTCACGAAACGACGGAGAGGAGAGGAACGCGCGAGCTCTCCGTCGATTTTTCTCTCGAGAGTGTTTCGCGGAAAAAGGAGAAAAAGCAAAAAAGGGAGATAAACAGAGCGTCGCCGCGATTTAATCAATTATAGCGATTTATGTCGAGTGGGAACGTCGTCGAAAGGGAATTCCTCGAAGAGGAAGTTAGATCGACAAAACGATCTTTATTCGCCAGCGAAGATGGCGTTCCTATCGAGAATCTTCGTCAAGTTGAGCTTCGATTCCTTTGAAACCGTATTTCATGCTTCTTTTTTTACATTTTATCAATAAAGTAAAATTTTTTTAATGATAAATGCTTGTATATGTATATATGTAATATACGTATAATTGATTGTTTAAATTGAAGCGATAAATCTACGTATGCTTTTTAATTCTTTCTTCTGCCTGGTTTCTTAATTTCTTTTCTCTTTTTTGTTAGATTCTTGATTAACACGTGTGAATGTACAGTTCGGATTGAATCGAACACGTTCAATGATAAAAGATAATTCGTTGACAAAAATCTTTAGTTTTTTCGAATTTTTTTATTGTGACGTCCATTCATTTTAGAGAAAAATTTATTTTATTATGCTTGGCTTCAGATCTAATAAATTACGACATTTCAAACGACATTTCATATGCTTAGCTGAAAATTCGTTTTCCATTTAATAAGAATGATAAATAGTTTTAATTGAAATGATGAATATTAAATTGGTGCTTATATATGAAATGTCATTTCTTCAGAGTAACATATTAGTTTCTCTTTTATCATATCTATTTAATTAAAAAAATATATATATATAGAAAAATTTGAAAGAAATATTTTTACAAATTATCTTCTATTTTTATCAGATAAAGTTTTAATTAATAAGTTATTTTTAAAACAACTTTACGCTCTTGCATAATTATTAGAACTATTTTATAAATCAGTTTGGAAATAAAGCAAAAGTTAAAATTCTACCGATTTTCTGATTATTCCATTCGACATAAAATTGTAAAAATAAAAAGAAAAAAAACGACATTTCATATGCATCAATCAAATAGATATATTGAACAGATACAGTGTGAAGATGAAGTTTTTAAATGTCAACGGTCAAAAAAAGAAAAAAAAAAGAAGGAATTCCTCCCTTCAATCTTCGATCGTTCGTTTATCGAACATTCGTTGATAAGAATTCGTATTTCATAAATAATTTTCCTAAAATTTACCCCACATTTTGGAAACCCGACTGGATCGATCACACGTTTGTCGTGGACGTCGTGGTAGCACCTTTCGGAACAAAGAATCTCAGCCCCCGAAGAAGACTCCGAGAGAAGGGTGGCGGATGCAAGAAAAGATCTCGAATACCGTGAGATGAAAAGCGATGCTCTAGGAATGGGGCGCGTGTTGTAAAACGCTCGCGCGCAAAAGGAAAGCGTTTCCCCTCTTTTTCTCGTAGGCGTTTGGCGTTTAATCGTCGTCGTCGAGGCCGAGCAGCTCGGGCGGAAGTCGTCTATGCCGGCAGCACAACGTCAGACAGAGCACGCGAGCCGCCAATCGAAATTGCGGACTCAGGGTTCCGAGGACCACCGCTTTCCAGAAACTGTTCGTCACCCCCAGCCACACTACCGCGAAATGAAGAAACGGTACCTGGAACGTGATAATATTATGCGAATAAATTGGAATATTTGATGATAATATATATGTCGTGGTTATCATTTGTTCCATTATTTTGAGAAATTTATATTTATAAGATATTTAATATTTAATATTTAAGAATAATTCTCAGATTTCCAAGTATTAATTTAACTGTTGTAAAATAAAATAAATTTATTTTAATTTATTTAAATTTATCGTTATTTATTATAAATAAATGTTTCGTTAAAATTTGCCTCGACATTTGTGCAAATTTTATGAGCATCCAGTCGTGATATAATGCAAACCAGATATCGTATAAGATAATTTATTAATCATTAAATATTTACATTTCAACATACTATAAAAAATCAGTGAGATTGCACAATATAATTAATTAGATATTTGTATTATTGTAATAACTTCTTTACATTTAAATAGCACAGAAAGGTAAATACTACTTTGAAACTTTTTCACTTGATATTTTTAAACTTCTTTTGATGAAAAGCCCTTTGCTCTATAATTGATTAAAAAAAAAGTAATAAAGAAAAAAAACCAATAATATCAACCAATAATATCAGTATCTGGTTATATAAGTTTTCATATTTAATCCAGGAATAATACGATTTTTGATTTTAATTAGAAAATGTACTCTTTGAACCAATATGTTATGAAATTTCTATACGAAATCTCTTATCTTTCAAAGAGAATAAATACGATTTCTCGTATTAAAATATAAAAACTGATCTTTCTCACATACTTCCTCGCATATTCACAAAAAGAGCGTAACATTTAAATTACCTGCGGCGGTCCATTAACGACAGCGTATATCCGGAGACCGGCATACGGTGCCCAGGACACCCAGAAAGCCATCACCAGGACAAAGGACATAATGTGACTCGGATTGCTCAGATTTTCTGAGAGCGCGGTCGCGTACTCCTTGTCGTGTATCAGTACGCCGGATCTTAGCCGCCTCATCATAGTGAAGATGTAGCAGTAGGTGTAGACGATGGTGATGACCGATGGGCCTAGCACGAGGATCGACAGTGTGATGGTGTAAGCAGCCATGTTGCCCCAGTCGAGCATGCAGATGAACGCCTCCCGGTCGAAAATCGGCTTTTGGAAACCTAGGAGGGGCGGGCAGCACATCATCGCCACGCTGATCCACGTGAAGACCATCCAGCACTGGCATCGGGTCTTCGTCTGCACGGTCTCGTAACGCAATGGTTTCCTGTCCAATCGATACTTTAATCATGAACTCGACATGAAACGCAAATTTCCAGGATTGAGATTCAATTTTAATTCCAACGTGATGTATATTGGTTGATGTTGGACTTGGACGTTGGAGAAAGTTGAGGGTTATGGTTGAGTTTATAATACATGAAGAATAAAAAGTCAAGGATATAGAGTTGAAGTTCTAGTGAATAATGGATCATTCGTGTATATGTATGTGTATAAATTGTTGATCGATGGAATGAATTAGAAAGTTTGACAAAGATTGTTGAGATTTCAATTTACCTATTATCTTGATATTGATTTTCACTCCAACTTGGATTTATTTTATTGCTCTAATATGTTGAACACGTTAAACTAATAAGATGCATTATATTGCTGTAGAACGTTATTAAATTCATGTTGTTCATTGAATGTTCTTTTCAAATTCTACTTGAATATCTTGTTTAATTTTGTTCTCTTAGAAAAATATAATAAATATCCAAAAACTTTTGAACGTAGAAAGAAATTGAAACGTACCTGATAGCCAAATATCGATCGACGGAGATCCACATGAAGGTGTAAACGGATACCGCCCAGAGAGTAACTTCCAAATAGCCAACGAGACGACACACGATGTCCCCGTAGACCCATCTTCGTACCAGCGCCGGATACACCGAAAGCGGAACCACCAGCAGACCACAAAGAAGGTCCGCCGACGCGAGAGACAGCAAGTAGTAGTTTATCACCTCGGAGGGACCTGTGCGGTGTGATGCTCATTTGTATTTACCTCGAGTGTGAACCACATTTCACCGAATGTTACAGTATTCGTTGCTTTTTCACTGCTTTGTGGTGACAGAGTCAGGAAATTAAAAAAAAAAAAAATCCGCAAGAATGAAGAAAAAAGAAAAAGTTGTGGCATGAAGTAATAGAATTATATCTCAAAATAATGAATTCGAATTTTGCCAATGAATATTTATCTATATTATAATTATGTTAAAACTATTAATATTATATTAGAATATTGATTATGTTAAAAATAGTAAATGTTTGAATATAATATATGAATATTATATAATAATGATTTTAGTATAAATTTGTAAAATGATTTTGCAATTAAAAATGTAATAATTTGGAAGAGAACAAAATGTAATATATATTAAATTACTTAATGAAGATATAAATCGAAAAAAAAGATGCAAAGATACATGCGCTGTTTATAAAAGAAAAAGGAAAATATTGTTTTTTAAGGAACAAATCTATCCATATTTATGCAAAAAATATTACATATATATGTAAAATTAATAATAACACGTATAATTTAAGAATACTTATTCCAATTAAATTCCAAAAATATAGAATGCAATTTCTTTTTATCTAAAAGAAATAAAAAATTTCCGCAAAAATTACCAAGAATATCAAGATGTTAAAGTACTTACCACGGAAATTAAGGTAGGTGGCGATGATGAGGAGATTCGAGAGGATGATGGCGACACCGACCACGAAGATGAGGCCCGCCTGCATGAGAGCCTCCAGCGAGGGCTCCTCCATGCCGCCACCCTTTCGAGCTGCATCCCCCCACCCGCCCTTAGGTGCTGTTACCCGTCACCCCCCTTTTATCAACAGCCACTAAACAGCCAGGTGCCAGGCTCTCCTGGTAGCTCGCACCTGGTCCACTCCTCCACTTCCTCGAAATCCTTCGCCTCAAGACCTGCCCTGCCGGAGGCTGTCAATCCTCCACCAGCAACGATAAACTTTGTCCGAGATCTTTATGCGAACGTACCTTCTCTAACGACCTCGTAACTTGGACGATCTTGATGGAGGATCAATACAGCTATGTTGCTGCAAGCAGAGAGTAGAATTTGCTGACGTTTCGTTTTAATTTACAGGAGTATCACGAGATGCTGAACTGGTGAGAGGACCAGACGATGACTGCAAGAACGATGATGGCGTGATGAAGTGACCGATGCATAAGAATCGAAGGCACAAACGATGAGCTGAAGAATGAAGAACTTTAATGAAGAAATTCGATGCTTCTATATTCGTTTTTTTTAACCACTAAGAGAAGTAGTTTATATACTATATTTAATGAAATGATTTGATTAGTTAAAAAATTGATTTCTAGATTGGATACGTAAGAGGAAAAGAAATGAATATTTATATACGGCAATTTCTTTGAAACGAATAAAATTCATCGAAGTTAAAATCAGTATCGGATATCGGGTTTATTAATTGAATGCATAAGAAAGTGTAATCATTCGATCCATTTCAAACATCGCGGAATCAAAATAATCAAGCAATCAGCACACTCGTAAAAAAGGGAGAAAGAATAACCGATAAGTTTAATAAACGACGAATAAAATAAAAATTCTTTCCAATCTTCGATAAATCATATTCCAATAATCCATTAATAAATTAGATTTAACAAAGTTCTTTATTTAAAAAAACAAAGGAAATCACTCTATAAAATATCACATACTATATTTCAAACGATATAAAAGATTCTATTGGATCAATTGTAACTAAATAAACTCTTTACGATCCCTTTCAAACCAGTAAAAACGTTACAATCCTTTTTACAATCATGGACGTTGATACATGATGTCGTTTCACATCTCACATCAGCTTTTCCATGTTTACATCGGAAAATTTTATTCACTCACCATCTTTTATACATGTAGTCTCGATTTCAGAGCATAGAATTGGTGTATTTTGAAGGTGGAGCACACGAATTGAATCCAAGAGAATAGATTGTTCGGATAACGGGAAAGGGTGAAAAGCAGTGAAAGTTTGGCATCAATAGTCGTTCTTTTTTTCATACACATTCTTACGAGAGCCACATAAGCCAGGTGAAACTCGCATGGCCAGTACACGCGTTCTCCCTCTAGCTATCGACCGTCATTCATAATTCAGCCGAGTCGATCCTGAATGGAGGCCTGTTTTATGAAGCATCACGTAGGTAACTATCGCCGAATTAAAGAGGAACTTCTATATATTTTTTTTTGGAATATTTCGTCGATCAATTGTCGACTATAAAACAAATAAATAAATAAATAAATAATAAATAATTCGAGTAAAAGAATCGTATAAGAATATTGTTATTACTTGAAGGTGTTTGTTTGAACAGTGTAATATTAATTTCATTTTTGAATTGTCATCGCGTGACTTGAGTTGGAAATATTTAATACGAGAAGAAGTGCTTGTTATTTTGAAGAATGGTATGTGCATGTTTGAATGTTATTTGCAGATGTTTGACAAGGAAAGTTTACATATTATCGTAATTTATTTTTATGTTTTTTATATATTCTTAAAAGTATTTATAATTTAAAAAATTATAATAGAATTATTTAAAATAATCAGTGAATAAATAGGAATAGCTAAAATAAATGAGAGATTTAAAATAATATCATGAATTTTCTATTATTTTTAATTATATAACATTTTAATATTATTAAATAAATTATGTTAGAAATAAATTCAAAGTTCCTTTATGCAAATAATCACAAGATTATAATAAAAATATTTCAGAGTAAATTAATTCAAATGTAATAATTATTTCATTTATATTTAACGTTCACTTAAAATAAAGCTGTTTTTCCATAATTTTTGAAATAAAATATTTATTTGAAAATGATATATTTAATTTAAATTTACAAACACTTTAAGACACTTTAAGGTTTTATCATTTTCGTAATATTAATATAAATTAATAATATAAATATATATAATAATAATATAAACATAAATATAAATATAAATATAAAATAATATATAAAAATATTATTATAATATAATCGAAACAATCCATTTTCTCAAATCGTTATTCATTATCTTTATGTCAATTAAAATCTATCCAAGTCTGGTTTATACTAACAATATGCAATCTCAAGATAAACGTCATTAAATTATCCTCGATATTGCAGTCTTCGCAAGATTCTAAAAATATACGTAACGAAGACACTCTTGTTCCAATTAAAAGCCTTATTCTTATACACGCTATAGAAATCATCGTATCCACTGCTCGTATTCTCCATCGTAAGATAAACGTCGTTAAAGCAATCTTTCGTTTCAAGTACTAACGTGACGATCGTTAACCTCACCTCGTAAACCATGAGTGCATACAGACAGAGAAGACATTGCGATAGCGAGAACGCGTTCTTCACGAGACAATCATCCCCTCGAGCATCGTTCTACACTATGCAGAATATTCTCTGATGTAGTCAATCAAATTGACGTAAAGCAAACGTTCATGTTGCATAATATTTTATAATGTTGATCGTAGAAAGTGAACATCAATCAAATATTTTGCTAACAAAATTGTAAGTTTTATGAATAAAGATAGGTGAAATTTTCAAGTATTGGCTAACAAAAAATTAAAAAGTTAATTTATTTACGATGAATTTTAACTTTATGATTATATATAATATTTCTTCTATCTAATATTTCTATGATTTTTTTTTATATTTTCTAAATTAGTTTTCTAAATATTTTAGAATTTCAAAACTTTTGAGACATTTCTCATTCAATTCTTTACTTATCCATTAAATTTTTTCGATAACAATTGAAATAGTAATAAAAATATTCAGAAATGAAATTTCACATCTATAATTATAAATTCTAAGATACTAAAAAGAATTTAAAAAAAAGTAATTAAAACTTTACATCTTTCTTTGTTTTTAATTTAAATTCTAAAAATAGAAAGTAATAAAAATTCGAAACTCTTTAAAAATTACAAAATTTTTAAAACTTTAATTTTTTTTAACTTTCTTCTTTTATTTCAATTTTATGAAATACTCGAAATTAAGAAACAATAATCTTTCATCTATTCTATATCCAACAAAAATTCTTTTTAATTCTGTCCAATTAATATTTAATTATGAAGTATCAAAGTCGATTAAAAATTCAAATAAAATATATTCAACTCTATAAATACGATTTTATACGCCAATAAAAAGTGTAAACAGTTTATACTTTGAATGCTTCTCTCATTCTGTTATCATGCTTTTTATCAGATTACCTTTGAATTGAAATAAGGTGATCTATAGTTAGCCCTGAACATGAAAATTATTGCTGTTTTTAAAATACACAGTGTATACTCATAGAATATTATTGATAAAATGTCAGTAAGGCAAATAATTGGTTAATTTGTGATTGAAATCAAATGAAAATCTTGTTGATAAAAGCTCAAGTTAAGCAGATTTCTATGCACATTGACACATTCACTCGGTGATGGTCAAGTCTCTTATATAAAAACTCAGGGCTTAATGAAGCCTCGACCTCGGATTTAAAAATCACGTAAAGGTTTACTTCTGTCGTTTCCCTTGTTGCCTTGTAAATGTCTTATCGTCAACGGTCTTCAATGGCACGTGACACGATCACGAGAAGGTCTTTACTTTTTTCCGTACTTTTGTATTTAAACGATAATAGTAGTAGATGAAAAATTAATTATTCGCATTATTTTTATATTATATTATTTAAATATCTGAATTATATTGATAATAAAATCGAAAATAATATATTAATTAATAATAAAAATATATTAATATTAAAAATAATAGAAATGTTTAATAATTGATATTAAAATTTTAGAATCTTTAGTAAATAGTAATAAATTTCTGGAATTGCATAGATTTAATTTATATAATATTATATAATAATATAATAAATAACATGAAAATATTAAATATTTTTATTAATTATTTTTGTTAATATGCTGATTAAAAATTTATGTCGATTATATCGATTTTGAAGAACCTTCGAAATAATGATTTTTCTATATATGTTTTATTTTAATGAGATTTTCAAAGTTACCTTCAACTCTCTTATAATCTTTATCTAATAATTAGCATAATTATGAGAGATATTATGTAGCCCTGAAAATGGATTATAAGATGATACCTATAAAACTTGAAGGTAAATCATGAAAATTTAGGGAGGCAAAAAAAAAAAAAGATATAGAAAAATCTCTCAAAATGACAAAAAAAAATACACTGTCTCCATCTTATATATTGTATTCCAAATAAGGAATACGAATAGAAATTATAGCTAAATCGAGATTAATGTTATTTCGTAAAGAGAATTTCGTTTTCGACGGGATTTAAATTTGAAAACTTGTCGAGCATGCTTGTTACGAGAAACGGCGAAACTTGTCCCGCGAAGAATAGTATTCTTTTAACTGAGAACAGTAAAGAAAGTGTACCCAATTAAGAGAGAAAATGGTTGGAACGTTTGAAGAGTTGCAAAACTCGGTCCACGTTTGCATTGCGTCTTCAAATTCTATAAATACAATTTGATATGTAAAAATAGACGCGAAATTTTTCAACAAATTCTACGAGATGAATGAAAAACGAGACCTGGTTCGTTCTGAAGCAAGATTCTTTAAATCATACCTTGGCCGAGTACGTGTGCACTCGACGTCGTTTCAAAGTAAATCGTGTGAAAAACGAAATCCTATACAAGTATACACATACAAAAAGAAAAAAAAAGATAATTATTTCGTCGTTTCGACTCGTTATGAAAAATTATATTTTTCACTGCATTATATTTTTATATGTTATTTATTGCACGGATAGAATTATTAAATATGAAGTTCAAAAATAAATTAAACTTAGATTTTTTTCTATGCGTGATTTTTTTGATTATGTTATTCTTATCGTTAGGAAATCTTTACACTATCTTGATTACAAACGTTATTTTTCAAAGGAATTGTTATTTTCAGTTTGCTGATAGAACACGGTACACAAAAGCAAACTAAAAGGAACAGGTAAAAAGAATTCTTACTTAGCTGCTTTAGATTTTCAAGATTAATGAGAATCTCAATGAAAATAGCTCAGAAGAAAAGA